ACTAATAATAACACTACTACATAAACTACAAAACCAACACTTATTCCAAAAGAAATGTAATCTTACTTAACATTAAAAAAACAAAAATACATAAAAGAATGAAGCTACCCCCGGACATAACAAGCAGTGGTAGTGTCCAATTCTGCCACCTCCCCTATAAACGTTCTCCTGCTCCAGGCGCCACATCTTTAAATCAGCAGACTGCATGAATCCTTCCAGGAATCTGCAACACTGGTAAGCTCACAAGAAATAATGATTATAAAACAGAAAGACAATCCAAAAGTAACTCATTGTGCATGCTCCAAACTCTACTAAATAAAGTATATGAATGTGAAACAAACCAAGTGCCCTGTACCAAAATAAAACCGGAAATACTAGCACAAAACCCACAGCCATCGCAGGAATTACTTTGCTAAGCCACGCCCCGACGATTGTAATAATGAATAGAGGCCTACCCACCTTTACAGGAACTTGATCCTTAATATTGTTGTCTTTTGTCTCAGTCGTCGGGGGATGCGGTGGTTCACATGTACTGTGTGATTAGTAGGCTTTAGCTTCTATCTTCTAGCTGTGAAGTCTTTGGGAATCCTTGTGCACTCAGTGGTGACTCAGAGACTCAGATGATGTATTCAGTGCATTTGTCCAAAGTGGAAATAGTGAAAAAATGTGTAGATTGGAAACATGCACTTCGACTCCACATGTAAAAGTAGTGATCAAACCTGCAGTGCAGGGTTTCTTTTTGATTATAGCTCCACAGTTTTGTCTATGAGGTTTCCTATAATAATTTCAATAGTAGTATACTGCCAACTTTAGCTCCATTAGCTACTTTTATACAGCAGTGATCTCCCACATTTAGGACAGTCTGACTGTATAAAATTCTAGCAAGCTGCCCTGACAGACCTTAACTCTTGTGAGTCAGTCTGTCTCTACTCAGATATTAGGTACCACTGAATAATCACATTATACAGACTGAATACATGTGAAAAGTTTTTTTAATGGGGTATACCACAGTGCATTTACATTAAGCAAAAAAAGACATTACAATTCTACAGAACACTTGAAATAGATTTATATTTACAGCATGCATACCTATATTACCTCTAGAGAGGGTACCAAGGATACATTTTGTCAGTATTTTCGCAAAGAAAACCTTGCTATTCAACTAATTCAAGGAGCACCGGTCCCTAGATCCTCAACATGGCAGCAGTGTGAACAAATGCGAGAAGAAATAATGACCCCACTTGTTTGCAAGTTTTATTCATACATTGTATCAGCTGTAACAACTACTTCGATACATGCTGTTTTTCCAAAGGCTTCCACATTGTCAGGATAAAAAGATTTGTTCTTCCCCATCGCAAAATAAAAATGAAACAAAGGCGATAATGTAATATCAAATGTTGACACAAACAATGACAGTTTTTCTGTTTTTTTCTCTCCTAAAGTTTCCATTAATCATTATTAGCGGGGGAGTGAACCAATAACTGCAGCTCTCTCTGTTTGAGATGTCCGTAAGGGTGCTACAGGTCTGACCTGTTTACTGCCTGCACTGCGGCTCTGTCTGCCATGCCTAACGGAGTTATCCATCTCTCAGCCAGCATCCTGCACCCACTCTCCTATTTTCCTAATGATCACCTCCCCTGAAGCACTAACTCACCGTGGAAGGAGGTGGAAGTGTGATCTGCCTTGCTCGTTTCAGTTTTTTATCACTGCCTCACTTACAATCTCCACCTACTCTATATGTCTCTATTTAGACAAAATATATACATTTGAAAAATGTTTTCAAAAGATTTGGATATTTGGAAAATAAAATTTGCATTAACACAATAATGATTTGTGAAGAGAATTCAAGTTTGTCTTCTAAAGCACAAAATTTGTGACTCAGATAAGGTGAAACTGTGTTTGTTTAAAAGAGCAGATACACACAGAAAGGACTCCTCAGACAGGCTTTGGCTGTTGCAGGTCCTCTTTGTTGCCTACATAGACTTCCTCTATGCCCCATTGCACAAGTGCACTGACGTCTGTGAAAATCCTTTTGTTTGGCAGTGTCATCCTATTGATTTGTGTGTCACTCATTCTCGTTCACTGACTCTCTTCTTTTGTGAATTTTACCCTCCTTGGTGGTGAGTCAATGTGACATGCATGGTTTCTACTTGATGTCCTGTCTGTGTTGAGGTGAGAGGCAAAGCCAGGAGCTGGCAGCGGTGCTAGTTGTCGAAGTTAGTTTAGCTTTAAAGCTCTATCTGCATTAGGGCAAGTGGTCTGTGAATTCAAAGTGCCAGCGCTGCTACAGCCACAATATAGATGAGCATTTTTGGCTCAAATCAATTTAATGACCAGTACACTCTCAATTAAAAAGAATGACTTATATAGCTTAATGGATACAGCACTGTTGCTGGCATGCTGGTACTTTTTCCTGCATATGTATACTGAACTTTAATCACAGTTAAATATAGCAAAATTATTCTTGCTTGTGTCACATGGTCCACAGTGAGTGAGGTGTACATGGCTTTCACTTGTGAACAGTTCACATCAGAGTTCAAGGTGTTTTTTCTGCCAGTATTCAGGCCCAACGTACCTTACATTTTTGGTTCAGTGATCTGCTCAGTGTCAAGAGGCTGAGCAAGCCTGCTATGATCACACCACAGTCACCACGCTGGAAATGGGAAATGCATCACTGATAATTTGCTGTGATTTGATTTCATATTTTCTGACTGAATGGGACAATCAGCTTAGAGAGACATCAATATGGCAGGCTTTTTGTGCAACATAAAGCAGTGTAGAAAGATTGTGGCAATTCTTTTCTGCCTGACTCGCTAAGGAGTTGGATGAGTCAGTTATTAAGCCAGTAATGCTTTTCAGACTTTGTGCTCTTAAGCTCAATATGCCCACAAAGCACACCAAGATTCATGTTTTCGCTTTATTTTCTCTCTGATTGACTGTTTTTCAACAGTCATTCCTCTCTGCAGTGACAAAGAAATAAGTCAGAAAGTATAGGGATTAACTGTTGGGTGTGGGCAGTCAGTACAGGAACAATGAGTTTACAGAAGGAGTCAAACAATAGAAATGAAAATGATAAGCTTCAAGCTTGAAGAGTTTACGACCATTACACTGAATGTATCACAAAATGTGAAACAGTTTGTGAGTACTGCCGAAGAAGTAAAGCTATTGTAAATAGTACGCACGAGTAATGGTGACTTTGATTTGTTCACAACAGATGTTCAAGCCTCAAATGGTCCCTTGATTGTTCCTCCAACGCACACACACACATCCATTCACCAGAGGCTACCAAACACAGTCATGAAACCCGTATATAGCTTCAACTAAATAAACACCAGATGAAGGTAAACCTGTCTTTAAAACCTGTTTGCTGTCTAAATGGAATTTGGGATTCAGTGTGACATTCACTGTTTTGTGACATGTTATTCATGTTATCTTATCATTACACCAATATTTTGAAATGGCATCAACAGCAAATTGTGAGAAAAACACATTTTTTACTTAAGATTACAATTTTGATATGATTCACTATTTCTGCTCAGGAACTCTTCTTCAATTCAAGGAAGGTATTCATGGTTAAATCATGGCGTTGGTATAATGTTGCCTCACATTTAATGCCCTTTTTCATTTAAAAACTGATGCACAGCAGGGTTCACAACATACCAAAAAACCCAACTTAAATCCTATATGGAGCTATGTTTCATCTTTGCAGCTTCAGCTTCAGTGCTGTGTAATTGGGATCAGTCTTCAAAAAGGACCCGTTGAGAGCACCAGACATGAAGAAGCACACAGTCTGCATTTGACCGGGGGTTGGTGGGGTGGCAGATCCCTTGATCAAACCCTCTTTTAACCTCAAAAAGGGGTTATAAAGGGTGACCATAGGGGTGTCCATGCTGAGCTCTTGACCACTGCCTTTGGAAGGTGGTTGTTATGGGATACAGGCCAGCGGAGTGCAATCTGCTCCAATGGTACATCTTAGACAAACTCTGCCTTGGTGATGACCTGATTTTAAAGGCTGCCCTCCACTGTTTTTCAACCTGGGTGTGTGCATGTTTTCCTTAACCCAATTCAGCCTCACAGTGTAAGTAGTAGTAATGCAGTCTTTACTTCTAAAGGCACAAACACACAATTAATTGGATTTGAAATAAGGGCAGACTACATAGGAAAAAAACCTATAAGATTTTGGTAAATTTAAAACTACTTACCAGAAAGATAAAAAATACAAATGTATTTCCTTCTGAAAACATAAGAATAGAACGGAAATGATTTACATTCAGACTGTTGTGGCAAGAAAAGTGTAAATGATTGTAAGATAAGTTTAAACCTACACAGAAACAGTCAAGGCATAGTCATCATGCCGTAGGTGGATGCTGAGGGCTGGGAGGGCCGGCTGGTCAATGTAGAAAACAGCTGTTTGTGCCCTGAGGCAGGTTCCCAGGATCTGGAGCCAGCAGATATTTTTTTTATAGTCAGGTGAAGGCAAAGAAAAATTACTTTGCTGTTTTTACAGGGAGCCATTATATGTTGGAATGCCTGAAAAACTATATTTTTGAATTATACTGTATTATGAGATGAATAAAGCTCATATTGCTCATTTTTAATTTATTGTTTGAACTGTATATTATCCAGAAATAGAACAGCAGTACCAAGTTGGCGATGGAAAGCTTAGCTTAGTATTAGTAAAACTCCAATTTCAAAATTTGTAAACTCAAGTAAAAGTACCTCAAAATTGTACATTAGTAAATAAATTAGTTAATTTCCACCACTCTAGTTAGCTTGGCGCTGTTCCTGTTCTGTAATGCAGGTAGAGGACAGTAATACAAAGATCAATATAAAACCTGTAAGAATCTGGTTCTAGCTTTCCCCAAAAACCCATCAATTATCAGATCATAAGAAGTAACCTTGACTGCCTTTAAAATTGTATCAATTGAGATGGGTAATTCATATGATAGATCAGTAGTAGCTAGTAAAACATAAATAGTGTCTTCCTTGTCCTTCCTCAGCACACAGTGGGCCTCTGGAGAAGGTGATCGTCTGGTTCCTCTCTCTGAGCTGTCATGAGGAAAGCATCGCTGCTGCTGCTGCTTCTGCTTCTGCTGCCTCCAGACTCCAGGCAGGGCAGGCTGCCACCAAGTTGATAAAGTGAGCCATTTTGCACACAGGCAAGATTACTCTCAAGGACAGAGATTAAAGTGGCTTCTGTTTGAGTTGTACCCCCCAACAAACACACACACATACAGAGAACGAGAGAGAAAAGCGTGTGCATTGATACTGATACCCTTTTAAATTAATTGTTTGCACAGTGATCACAGCATCAAAGCATAAGAACATACAGCTGCAATAACAGTTTACATGCTGGTGAAAAAAAGCCTTGCATTAAAGAACTCGTTTGCAAAGAACACTGTGAATTTAGCACCACCTGTGGCAGTTAGTGTGGTTACTGAGAGGATAATTTCAATTTATTGCAACTTGTGTCTTATTGTGGGCCACATTTATCGTTTTGATGTCACTGTACTCACCAAAGTAAAGATATGAAGTTGCAAGAAACATGCGGAGTAAGATGATCAGAAAGGTCATAAACAAGTACGCAGTTTAGCCAGATTCTCACTTAATTTGGAGGTGAAACTCAAAATGAGTGCACCCAAAATGATGGTCATTATAACTGCAGCATGGTAGGTCAACGTTATAACCAAGAAATAGATGTGTAAACTGGGTGCAGGTCTTTACAGGCACTTTGGGTGATTTTTACTGTTTGTCTTTGTTTTTTTCTTCCAAATAAACTTGGCTTGGCTTTTAGCAATGACTTTAATGAGATTCCCATGTTATCAAATAACTTGGTGAGTGCAGTTTTATTATTACTGGAAGAAATAATGGCCCAATCTATGAAAATTAGATCCAAATTGTAATTAACCACAATTACCATTTAGAGCAGTAGTTTAACATTTCGGGACATACACTTCACTTTCTTGCCAAGAGTTAGATGAGAAGATTGATACCACTCTCAAGTGCTGAATTAGGCTATAGCCAACAGCCACTTAGCTTAGCTTAGAATAAAGACTGGAGGCAGGGGAAACTAGCTAGGCTTTGTTCGAAGTTAAAAAAATCTGCCTACCAGCACCTGTAAAGCCCACTACTTACCACATTATTTCTTTTTTGTCTCATACATAAAAAAACTAAGAAACTATAGTGAGAAGTAGTATGGCACAATAACCCAAGGCAAAACTGCTATTTTTCATTTTTACACTTCCTTTTTGGTATAAAAAGATTATAATAAATTAGATACGTTAATTGTGAACATTAGAGTTGCTGGATTTTCTTCTGACAGACCCAATCTAGCTGTTATCCCCTGTTTCCAATCTTTATGCGAAGCTAAGCCAGCAGCCGGTTAGCTAAACTAACCTCTGCTTAAAGTTCCTGTGTTGGCAGTACAGTATTTTCTCTACCAAATCCATTAACAAGTCTGCAAATAATGCTATATTGCTATCTAATATTGGCCAATGAACATAGACACTAGCATTTTGGATGTGAAAATGAAGCTGTCCAAAAATGATCATGCCTCAGTGCAGTGAAAGGGAGACCACTGAGATAGCTTATAGCTTTAATAGTGCTGTTTTTTTCAGTAGAGGGTTGGAAAGATAATTCAGTTAAACAAGCAAGAAAATTTTATTTGAAGTTGATGCTATCCTCCAGATAGCATCCTTTAGCAGCTATCAATTACAAGCATGGATTCCTATAAATTAATACATTTTTGTACTAATAAATCTGAGTTACTCTTGAAAACTCCTTTTTACATTCTTCATATTTGCAATGAAACTACATTCCAGATACATAATTCAGTGCTTTCTGATGAGACATGATATGCATGCACATTGTTCCAGTAGTTCAAGCATTCTTGAGGACCAATTGGATGAGTGAAATTTGCTTCAGCACAGAGTTAACGATTATACAAAAGACACAACACAGCACCCTCTCTTCTTGGCTGGTACTTATCAGAGCAGAAAGCCTTAATTAATTCATGGCTGGCTGATGTTCTGTTCAGACTGGTTGAGTTTGAATTATTGTGCATTGTTGAATATGTAAACAGCTGGCAACCAGACATGTTTTGATACACTGGGAATTAAACACAAGACCCACTGGACTTTTAAAAATAAATTACTTTGTGGTGAAATTGATTTGATTCTATGTATTTTAGATTAAGATAAAATAGCCAGTAGATTCAAGTAGATTGTTACATATTGTGAAATAGACCTCAATGCATTTATGCTGTTCCACATAGTAGAGAAGAAAAAGACAAAAAAAAAAACAAACCTGCCACATAACTATTTTAAATTCTAGAAGAGATTTCCAAAAAGCTGCCTATTGAAGGGGCCCTGCTCTATGAATTGCCTCTCTAAAAATGTATTGGGCAGTTTTTCCTTCTCCTCTTAGAGTGCTTTGGCTGGATTTGGGACCATTCCTGAGGCTGGCATGAAAATCCCATTGAGATATTGTATTGTATGTGATATTGGTCTCCACAAATAAAGATGACTTCAATCTTGACTTGTTCGATATCTATAGTGCCTCTACATCCAGCAATTTATCACTTTCCATAGCTGGATGTAGCACACTAATTATAGAGCTTTTGCTGCACCATCCTTCAGTACTCTGGCGTGTCTTTAAGCATTTGCCCAGTGGATTGCTGAAGCTATTCAATGCCTTCTATTCAAATTTTGAATTGGATGAGTCTGGTACAAATTCCCTTGACATAACGGCAGAATTTCAAAGGACGCCAGCCCCCTCTTCATCTGCAAATCTGAAAAGGAGATATTTAAATCAGTCTGTCACACAGCAGGTATTTCAAAATAGCAATGACACTTTGCTTAAAAAAAATCTGCAATAAAACATGTACTAGAAAGTAAGAAAGACCTTTGTCAAAACTAAAACATCACTGAGCGAGAAATCAAATTAGGAGCTTCTACATTTACAGGCCAAAGTCTTCCTGGTGCTCATCAAATGTTATCTCTGCTAAAGAGGTCACCTTATACCAAAATAACACTCTGTGCTCATTCCCTCTAAAAGAAGGAAGTTTTAGCCATGCATAATTGAGGGTCGGACCATATGTTTCATTCTGAGTTCAAGACAGGGTCACTCCACAATGTCTGTATGAACTACTGATCTCTTTTATACATGGAGACAAAGTGTTGGAGAAGAAGATTAATAAACAGAATAGACAAGGGTAGAAAAAAATAACACTTATTTAAAAAGAACAATTTTATACTGCATGCAGTATGTAATAACATTTGTCAATCCAACCTGTCTGTTTCTCTTGTGCTGTTTTGCAACTCACAAGGACCACAATGGAAATAAGCCGTCTGGCTTTGTTGTGTTTTTATCCTTTTGATGGTATCTGTAGCTGGGGCATCTCTTGCTGGAGGCGACACTTTTATATTTACAATCAATAAAAAAGTTTAATCAGTCAATCACATCAAAATGCTGATTGTCAGATCTCAAATCTTTGATAGATAGCAATTAGTCTATGATCCAGCTTTGTAGCAGTGCTTGTAAGAGTGATTGCATTACTTCAAAGCAAAAGACATTTTACATGAAGTATGTATGGCAACATTATTTTGTCTGCTGCCTGTATTTTATCACTCTAGAAAAATGACAAACTCATATACATAGTAACAGAATGACAAGTTTTAATTTTTTAAGCATACCTTGGCAGGTTTGGTATTCTACAAGTTTTATTACAAATTGTGACCAATATACAGTACTCGTGTAATTTATTGTGGGTATAATCATAAAATCCTTTGCAGTGACTTTAACATTCATGGGTAGTAAATGGGTGGGTGGACATCCATTTACTATCCATGAATGTTATAGCTACAGGATTTTATGATTATTAATATTAAATGAGAAATTTTAATTCACATTTTATTAATTTTTAATTAAACTTTAATTTACTTGAAGCACCAAGTTCACCTTTTCAGCTGGAAACATATTTTCGTATTCCTTATTCTTTACTTGTCTGCATCCATGTTTGAAATGTTATTATGTAGAATCATAAACATCGACAGGTTCAAGCCCTGGTGTGGGCATGTGTGTCCTGCTGAAATGTATCTGACCAAGTGTTCTGCCCTGCATTTTCATATTCTATAAGACATATATTATATACATAATGACTGAAATAGCAGTTCATCACAAGAAAATCAGAAAATTGAGCTGCACTACTTATATACAGTATGTATATTATCATCTGACCACATCATTAACTGGCAATTCAGTATTTTTGCTCACATTACCTGGGATCCATTGAGCCAGAACATGTTGTAAAATTGTCAGACTGGCATTGATCAGTATTCTGTTAAGCCTGAATAGAATTTAGTCACACCATGTACAGCGCCAAGAAATGAACAGGAAGAGCAAAGACGAGGGAAACTGTTGTGACTGTGATGGCTGTCATGACTGGGTTTTTCACAGGGGATGAGTTTACACGCATAGTCCATTCATCCGAATCCAATATTTATTCTAACCATAGGAGCTCTTAACACCTAAAATTAAATAACAGTTTTAAAATGTATCATCCATTATGAGACCCAGGCTTGTGTGTCCCACTAGAAAAAGTAACCCCAAACCCAGTCTGGCTTTCCAACAGTATTTTTAAGACAACCAGGTGACCTTTAGTAAATATTGTATTCACTCAGTCATACATGCAGTATCTGTATACATAATATGATTTATTTCTTAATTTAGTTTGTTATTCATATGTCCTTCTGCTGCAATAGTATATAAAGTATATAGTATAAGTATATCTACTTGTGTACAAAGTCTGTGTGAGCCAAACTCTATTACTAAACATTTTAAACCTTTAAACTATATACAACTTTGTCTTTGAGGCTTCTTTGCATTTGATACTGAACTTACTAAAACAAGGTCTTTCAAAGTATAGCAGCTGGAGCAAAATATCAGAGTTTTTGTCCCTTCAGGACAAGTGTCTCTTGTGGAAACCTGTTATGTTCTGGGTAAGTGGTAGAAAAACATTTTGAGGCCCTAATTTGAGTGGATATCTCATAATTTGTTAGTTGCTCAAGGGGGATATTGCTTATTAAAGGCATAAATATTTATGTGGTATATACATGTATCTATCAACAACATTCAGGTTGTTTTAGGCTTCTGGAAAATAATTGGATTCAGTAATGAACCTCAGCAACTCCCTCTGTTCTTGACTTACACTGCTGTATGTGCCCTTTTAAGATAGCAGCGCCTAACTGATAGATCACCTCAACATTACTGAGAGAGAGAGAGAGAGAAAGAAAGAAAGAAAAAGAGAGAGGTAATTTGAAAAACTACAAATTTTGGTACAGCTTTGTATTTATGAAGGCTGATTATTTTTCAGTAGCAGGGAACTGTACTTTTTATTAACATTTAAACAAACTGCAGTAAATACACTATTTTCAACTGTAGATTAATACATATTTTGTAAGTATGTACAGTACAGTAAGTATTGTAAGAAATGTGTTTTTGCTGACACATGAACATGTTCAGTAACGGAAAAAGAAAAAACATAGATGTTCCTTGTATATATGACCTCAGCCTTCAGAATTTGATTTAGTGAACGAGAACTGTTCCTGATGTATCGTCACTAAGATGACAAAAGTAATCTGTGCTGCACAGAATCAGGGAAGATGGTTGTGTTAAGGTTATATTTAGGAGCAATAGGAAGAAGTAAGATTTGTACAGTCAATTAGAGTAGCAAAATCCACTGACATATTCATTACATTACATTTAGCTGACGCTTTTATCCAAAGCAACTTACAATTGCTATACATGTCAGAGGTCGCGCACCTCTGGAGCAACTAGGGGTGTCTTGCTCAGGGACACATTGGTGGATGGGTCACAGTGGGGAGTTGAACCCGGGTCTTTTACACCAAAGGCATGTGTCCTATCCCTTGCGCCATCACCACCCCATTCAGTAGAGGTAAAGCTACAATAGCAAATTTCGAGAGCTTAGAGAGAGTTTCTGATGTTCTGGATAAAGTGTGAGCGTCTGCAGAGCGTCAAGAATTTAAAAACTGATTTAAGTTTCATTTGACTAGTCAGTTTATGTTCATCAGGCTTGCTTTATTTATAATGATAATAATGATGAGAAGGAGGATGATGCAGGGACAGTGCAAGCGCCCATATTTCAACAAAACCATTCAATGAGCCTAAATCTAATCTGCTAAATATATGATCTGTAGATGAGTCTGAGCAAATGTTCAAATTGTTCTTTAAATGGCATTTTAATCAGTCAGTTATTATATCAGCGTCATGCAGATGCAACAATAACATGAGCTGTTTTTATCGCTCTTTCAAAATCGCTGGTGATTAAATGAACCCGCCTCCAAGTGTAAGACAGTGCATCAACAAAAAACTTTAAATAGCAAGGTCATCTAGAGATGATTCTGGAGGAAAGTACCCTGCAATGCAGTGTCACAAAGATGGATGTGGTTCATTTACTATTCGGTCAGGCCCATTTAAAATGCTATATCATGGAGAATACTTTTCCATTAGTAATACAGACATTAAAATTAGAGCGAGTTCAGGTGACCTGTACTGCTTAGTGAACTGTAGAATACATTAAAGTAATAATCCATTATCTGTGTTCTATAATTAATTACCCAAGTATTTATAAACATAAGCGTCACTTCTATTTAAGTAACGCTTCAGAAAATCTGTGACACATGATTAGCAGTCTATTACAAACATCAAGCATGACAACTGCTTGAAATGTAGACATGTTTTGCATCTTTAATCAAGCTCTATATAAGGGTGGTGAGTTATATTGCAAAGATGATACAAATATGCTTAAATACAAATGCACAAGGTGCTCAAACGAGACAAAGTGGTGCAGTGGTTAGTATTGTCACCTCACAGCAAGAAGTCCCTAGGTTCCCAAGGTTTCCCCGGCCTTTTTGTGTGGAGTTTGCATGTTCTCCCCATGTCTGTGTGGGTTTTCTCCGGGTGCTCCGGCTTCCTCCCACCATCCAAAGACATGCAGGTTAGGTCAATAGGTGTGAATGTGAGTGTGAGTGGTTGTTTGTCTATGTGTGGCCCTGCGATGGACTGGCGACCTGTCCAGGGTGTACCCCGCCTTTCGCCCAATGTCTGCTGGGATTGGCTCCAGCCTCCCTGCAACCCTGTACACAGGATAAGCGGTTGACGATGGATGGATGGTCTTTGGAGGGGGGCCACTGAAGCAACCTACCCACTTGTTTAAACAAAAGGTAAAAGTAGCTCCACCTAGATAAGTGGAATCTACAACAGTGAAATGCTACTTGGATGCTGATTTAATAGTGCCATGTATAATATTATGGTATTGATACTTCAATTACATTTTGTTGGTAACACTGCTTTCTAACTGAAAGCGATGCAAGCAGTTACAAAATCAGGCAAGTGCGCGCAGTTTGAGCTGGACTTTTGTCAGATGCCCCGTTTCTATTTATTCCTGTTGCTCGCATTGAATGGAAGAGAAACTGTTTTTTTGATTATTTTAAAATACTTACATATTGTATGTCATAA